GATGCTTTATTTTCTGTTTTCACAAATCAAAAACGCCTAAAACTTCTACAAAATCTTCTGCAAAAAACACAATTATGTCGAAAATTCCATTTATGAGATTGGACGATCTTTATGATTTAAATGCTTACAAAAAAGCTGGCAGAAGAATCAGGAGTGTCTATACCAACCTATCAAAAGAGCTAAATAGATAGTTTTTAGGTTCCATCTTCACCTGTAAACTAGAATTTGAAAATGCTTTTTTATTTTCTGAAATACGTATAGATGCAATTTTCTTCAAATAATTAATTGATATTTAATTAAACTAAAATTGCACTTGTTATATCGACGAGATATTCAAAGCATCTATCCCATAATAAATTTCCCCATTTCTACTTATTTGAGTATATTTTTCAGCAAGAAAGTTGTAGGGACTGCAACAACATGAAAAGATGGATTAACCCGATGGGCAAATATGGGAATAAGACGACACAAATTTCAGTACCGCCCACTTTTGCATGTGATTTGCCCAATTTCAGGAATTTTTTCCCATTTTAAAATATTTAACTCATAAACTCTCCTGAAATTTAAAGCATTGAAAATGGTGAGAAATTTGTTAAAAACGGGATATATGGAAATCCTTTAATTAAGGAATAAAAAATGTCTTATCAATTATACCCTTAATTAATTATGGTATAGAATTGATAATTTGGTATACTAAGTGTAATTAAGTCAAACCTTAAACATTAAGGGTAATAAGGTTTCCTATGTGGCATAGGAATGTAAAAATTCCTATGGAGACCTTGCCAAAGCCCAATCGAAGGACGGAGACTTTAGTAGCCCGTTTGGACATAAGAAAATTTTCACTTTTTTCTGAAATCAACGTTTGTTCATAAAATTTCCAATTTTCACTTGAAGATGCATTTTAAAAATTTTCAAAAATTTGAAAAACTCCAAAAGGCTATTTTTCAAAATTTTCACTCAAATCATTCACAAAACTTCAAAAATCAACCCAAAATTATATTCATGTCCAAACACAACTTTAAATTTCAAATACAATTTTCATTTGAAAAAAAATTTCACCATATTTTGGAATTTTACCATTCTTATGTCCAAACGCCCACTAGATTTACCAACTATTGCCAATTATTGTGTCAATGTCAGACTACTATTAACTTTGAAGTTTGACCACTATTTTGCATCCACTTGCATTTTATTTTCCGCTTCTTCCAAAGATTTGGTGTAATAATTAGGGTGTTCATAAAAACTCGAAAAATCGAACCAAACCGAAAACCAAACCAAACCGACCAAAAAAATCGATACTTTTTGGTTTGGTTTGGTTTTGTTTTGAATTTTAAAAACCGATCAAATTTGGTTTGGTTATGGTTTTAATCAGAAAAAAACCGAAAAAAAACCGAATCAAACCGACTATAGGAGTAGCTATTTCAAAATCATTATTACACCTATATATATGTATATTTTTATACAAAGTTTCAAAATTTTTATGGTAAATGTTAATAGTTTGCACTTTTAGTATAGTTCTTTACCTTTACATTCTAATTTGATTGGTAGTTTTCTTTTGTTAAGTGTAAGAATCCATTTCGTGTTAAAAATAATATATTTTTAATTGAATCCTTAAATTATTCATCACTATTTAATTCAATTATCATCAATATATCTTGATAAATAATAGATTTCTAAAAGGGCAATTGATTTGATAGTGTTACGTTAAAAATGTGGCTTGCGGATTTTCCCTCTTCGTTTAAAGCAACAAGCATCCTTTGGAGATCTTCCAAGGAAGACTCCCGATCTTTTTACCGTCCACAAAAGTGCCGAGTCGAGGGGGCTTGGCTGGTACCAGGCTCTAAAAGAGTTTTCTTCGAGCGAGCGGTCTTTCTATCTTTTTGGGTTGCATGCCCAAGGGGACCTTATACTTATGTACCCGGGCTAGCGCCCTCTCTCTCTAGCAGAATGCTATCTGTTCTTATTCATATATTACCTTCCATTATTAAAAAAAAAAAAAACACACGCCGAAATATGTGTTTGGTAGTGTATGTCGTATATTTAAGGAAAAAAACCGACAAATAAAAAACTGAAAAACCGACAAAATCCGACATAAACCGAATCGAGAAAAAACCGACTTAATTGGTTTGTTTTGGTTCTAATATTTGAAAAACCGACTTACTTGGTTTGGTTTCTTTTTCGGGAAAAACCGATCCAAACCGAACCATGAACACCCCTAGTAATAACCTAAATAAATCTTGTTGCTGTAATATGCTTCTATAATATGGTTCTTCTCTTGGTACTATTTTGTACTCCCTCCGGTCCACAATAATTGACCAATTTACTTTTTTATTTTGATCCAAAATAAGTGTCCATTTATATAATTAAAAAAAAAATCAATTTGTTTTTTCAAAATTACCTTTATATACATATTCCTAAAAAAAATTCTTACTCCTCATATTAAATATTTAATTAAGGATAATTTAGTCATACTAGGTATTTTTGTATAGAATTTAGTATGTTTTTAATGGGCATACCAAAAATAAATTGGTCACTTATTGTGGACCAGAGGGAGTATAATTTTAATGAGATGGAAAGTCGAAAAAGAAAAATAAATGGTAGTCTTAAATGTGATGGGACAATTGTTTTTTTTTTTTTTTTTTTCTTAAATGACAATTGTCACACACGTCATGTATGTTTCATATGTACCTTTATTATGAATAACAGTTGATTAATGTATGTAATTAACTTGATTTATTACTTAAATATTATAAACTAGTGTGATTTGGTGCAAGTACAAGTAAA